GGGATGTCCCGCTCCACCGTGAAGGAGAAGCTGAGAGTCTCACTGCTCAGCTGGGGAAGGGAAGCGGTAGAGGGTCAGGGGGGCTCCACATTGTCCCAGGCTCCCCTATGCCCATGTCCCCTCACTCTGCTCTGCCACCCACCCCTGGCCCTGGGGGAATATGGGGCCTGCAGGCCTGGCTGAGGGCAAGGGGAAACCCTGGGGGAAGCTCTGCCTGGTGGCGAGGTCTGGGCCTGATCTGTGCACAGGTTGGAAGGAAAGCCTGCTAAGGGCTGGGAAGAAAGTGGCAGTAAGTCTAAAATGTTAGAAGAAGTCAGTACAGGATTTGGTCCCATTCTTATCAGAGCCATGGTGGTTTTGAGTCCCAGATATTTTGCCCTATATCGCCAAGAGTCCCAATGCTTGTGTTTCTGACTCATCCTCGCCCCAGATGGATACTCACCTTTTCCAGATATATTAGGACATGGTTGGTACTTAACTCTGTGCGCTCAATAACAGGGTGGCCTTCCAGCTGAAGGAAGAAGACCAAGATGTTACTGCACTGATGGTGGTCTCCATGTGCCACTTGCACAGTCCTGTGACTGTGATGCACTCTGGATGAAACACTGTAGCACTCAGGAAACTAAGTCAGCAGCACAGAACTGCCTCCTTGTTGTGCCACATAGGTATCATGGTCCCCAGGCCTTCCATTCGCCAGTCTGGCTGATGAAGTACAACCTGGCTTCAGAAGAGACTTAGCACCGGTTCAAGCACAGTGATGGAACAATTAATTGAAAATATGTTCCTTCTGGCTTGCTAGTTCTGCACTATAGTATTATAGCCTTTATTTTCTAGTTCATGCCTGTATTCAGCATCTCCAATAGTTACCCAACACCTAAAAACTTACGATGTTATGTTTTTAGATCAGCTGAGGGAAAAAGGAAACAGCATTACTTTAAATGTACTATACACAGACACTGTTAATAGGGAGCTGTTGGGAAACAGTGAAAATAAAAATTCCCATCACCAGTCTAAAGCAGAAGTTATTTAGTCTATTTTTCCTAGAGTGATAACATCATCTCCACTTGGACTGGCCTTAAGCCATGTATGAAAAGAGAACACTGTGCGTGTCAAATGTGCAGCTGACAATGAAAGAGTGGTTAAGCACTGGAACAGTCTGCCCAGGGAAGTGGTGGAGTTACCATCCATGGAAGTGTTCAAAAAAAGAGCAGACTTTGTGATATGGTAATGAGTAGGTATGGTGGCATTCGGTCAAAGGTTGGATTTGGAGGTTTTTCCCAACCTTATTAATTTGATCATTCTATGAATCAATGTTGTTTGTATAACAAACAGCATCCTACCTTCCTCACTGAGGACTTCAAGGGAATGAATCCCGACAGCATCTTCACATCAACAATCACCATGTTGGAGCTGTTGCGCTCTCCAGT